CACGGCAAAGTCCATCTCCCCGTGCACGCACGGGGAGTAGACAATCTCCCCTTGCGCGCACGGGGAGAGTCCATCTCCCCGTGCGCGCACGGGGAGTTCGACTCTCCCCGTGCGTGCACGGGGAGTTCAATACTCCCCGTGTGCGCGCACGAGGAGTATTGTGTGTTTTTTATTGACTAATTTCTGTACCCATCATCCAAAATATGATACCAAAATCATCCAACAACATATAGGTAGGGAATTCAGATATTGACGATGCTGCTTCAACAACGACGATGCTGCTTCAACAACATTTCAGTAGTAATATAAACATTTAAGGCACTAACTCAAATATTTACGAAATCAAATCGAAAGAAAAATATGACAAAGAATGCATAGCCAGAAACTACAATTAATGAACTGACTTTATGAAAATTTAAAATTTGCAGGACTTCTTGCACTTTGGTTATCAATAAAGAATTAGTGTCATCCTATTTCCTTCATTTCTTTTTACATTGCAACTTACAAACGTGCTGTTACATAACCCCATATATCACATAACTATAATCACTAATTTTCATTAAGAAAACTGAACATTGATTGCAGTAATATCCCAATTAACATAGGTAAAAGAGTAATTCTACTTACTTCGATGCACGGGCATTTACACCGGAGTTTTTTTCCCGAGAAGGTAGAGCGGAGATCTTCTTCTTGGCGCGACGGACCTCAAGATGGTTAGTCTAGAACTAAATCAACTACAGACCAGTAATCGAGAATTTTTTTTTTTTTTGGTTAAATCTTTTCTTTCAGAGGAATTTTTTTTTTGGTTAAATCTTTTCTTTGAGAAAGAGGAAACTGTGTAGAAAATGTATTTGCATGCATGTATATATAGGGCAGAAAATGTAAGTCGGCAACTTTATTTTTTTTTGGATTTTGTGTGTTTTTTATTGACTAATAATATGTTAGTCGGTCATAAAATATCAACAGAAAATACGGCGGGAAATGTAAGTCGGCTACAAATGAACGTAAGTCGGTTAATAAAGTCGGCCACAAATGATAACCTGAAACCAGTTTAAGTGTGAAAACAAGGGTGCAAAAATGAACAGTAACTTTGCTATCCCCTCTTTTAATAGAGTAGTGATATATACTAGTTAAGTGGGAAGTGCAACGCACGTTATTATGAAATATTTTATAAGTGCCGTAAAGTAATATTTGAATATGTTTGAATATTAAGTCTCTGTTTGGTACACATTAATTTTTTCATTCTCATTCTTCTACTCATTTTCAATCATACATTCCTCAATAAAATAATATTTTCCATCATATTTATAACTTTTCTTTCATTTTTAATCACACATTCTCCATCAATTTACTATTCAATAATACATTCTTTCAAAAGAATGTATCTCAAACACACTAATTAATTTAGAATTAGTACCAAAAAATATATACGTGACAATAAATATTAAATTATTTGTTTACTTTTCAATTAAGTAAAACTTGATGTTAAATAAATTAAATATATATTGAAAAATAAAAATTAAAGTATTATTAAAATAATTGAATTATAGTAGAGGTAGAATCGTCCAAAAAATGATTCTTGCTCGATATGATATTTAATATATTATAGATTATTATTTCGCAACTTGTTTGAAAAGTGTTTATAAACGATTTAAATTATAATTAGACAGAAATGAGTTGTGAATAAGTGTACATTACTTATTGTTGGGGATTTTGAGAATATTGTTTGTAAGTTGTATAGAATCTCTTCTACAAGAAAATAACAAGGTGTGAATCTTGTTAAGCAAAGAATAACAATGAAAGAACTACATGAACAAAGATGAAAATGAAACTCCAAATCAAGTGTTTAACACTTTATCTTTAAGAAGAATTTGCTTTGCAACGGTGCTAATGATGGTTCGGCAATCGTCTCACAAGATACGACGAATTCTCCTTACAATAGAAGCACTTCAAACTTCAAGCAACATTGAACTTGAAACGGAATTTTCTCTACTCAAACAATGAGTTTGATACAGGAAACAAATGATTTTGCTAGGGTTATGGACTGACTTTATGGCATCAAGGGTGTCCAATTTATAGAAAGTGAAGGGTTGTAGGTGAAGAAACACGTCTCAAAACTCAGCATGTTTCATAAAGGGACGCAACCCTTCTTGGCACTCACTGTACTTGGGCTTATTCACTCGAGCACCCAAAGCAAGGATTGGGCACTCGCTTGGCGCCAGACTACCGCTCGAGCGACGACTTTATATAGCCAAAATTCTGAATTTTCCTTCTAACTTTAGACAACAATTTCTTATTTATACGAAATTGATTTTGAGATTCCAAATATATTACTATCATCTACTCAATGTGTAGAACAATTTAGTCTATTCACTTTCGTGATTTTACTATTGGAACCCATGCAAATACTTGGCCGAAGTTGAAACAAAATCAACTTTACATGGGTTTTAGTTAACCAATTTTAACCTAATTCCAACACTTATAAACCATTTATAAACATTAGCCAAAGGGAGAAAAGAATATGTTCCATGCTAGATATATGTACGTGATCTAAATTTAGCACAGCGTACAGCCCAAAAAGAACTAGAAGTTGTGATGATTTAACTCTTGTTTAGTAAATCTTTTTTCGGAGTTTAAGCTAATCAAGCTTTATGTTAACCACTCATAGAATGAATTCACAACTTTTGATCACTTTTTAACTACACATTTCACGAGATTCACCAACTTATAACATCAAAAAGCTTTTTCAAACAGGGGCTTAATTCTTGAATTACTTGTCGGGATGACAACTTATTTTTTTTAATTATAATACCAAAAAAAAAAAAAAA